TCTGGCCTGCATTCACATTGCTTTTATGGAGGAACAGATTTTCAGAGATCCTTATTCTACCATTCTAGAGGTGTTTTGTCCATACACATTAATTTCTGTATTGTACTTTAATATAAAGGTGTAGTCAGGACATGCTGAAGAATACTCAATTTTTGCTCCTGACTGCTATACTTTTTGAGTTACCTATTTTTTCCTGCCATTTCTCTTATGTTAGTGCTATGAGTTTTCCCACAGCAGTCCCACTTCCCTGGTTAATGTTACTTCTAACATGTTGTAGGGTCAATAATGAAATAGCCTAGTTGGTTAGCAACATGTTAGGATAGGCTTACAGGGTCCACTGCAAAGTATGTTGACTTCATGACATTGTAGCTGCTCAAAACTCATTTTGGCTTTTTCTCACCGATGTCCTGGAAGATATGATTTTTAGGCATTTGAGTTTAGAGAAAGTGATTTGGTGATGGGTGATTGCCGAGTCAGATTACACCCAGAGTTGTCTACCTAATTCTGGGAAACATGTTTTAAGAGAAACTTTGACCAAATAGCCATTTCAAGGTAACAGTGACCAGGCTGGTGAGTGGGCAAGTTCTGAAACTGTGCCACATGAGGAATAATTGGGAAGAGTGGTGAATCTCATTGGGAGAAAAAAAACTTGGTGGGGGGATAAAGAAAAATTTATTGGGGTACATGATAGGGCTGATACGGCAATAAAATTATTTTGTCTGCCTCTACCATAATCATGCCCTCATGATTATGACCAATAAGCAAAGGTTATAATAGGACAGGTTTTGAATCAGTATGAAAGAAATTTCTAATAATGAGAACTGTCCAACAATGTTATTGACTAAGCATCTATCATAGCCCAGGCCCGTGGAGACAAAACCAAGTAAGACAGAATTGCTATCTAGAGCAGCTCATAACGTGAAAACCTCATCCTTAAAGTGATGAAGCAAAGACTAACTGACCATCTGTTAAGGATCCTGAATTAGATACTGAAGTATGTGACAACTAAAGTCCACTCTAAAATGAACATTTTAAGAGTCTGGCACCCCTACAGAGCTGACGGATAACTTTAGGGTGAGATAAAATATTCATTGAGAGTCTAGAAGATTCCAAGGAATACAATATATTTTCGAACTGTGCTCACCAAGGTCTTTTACGGTCACGAAATTATGTATGAAGTTGGCAGCAAGTCAACCTTATCTTAGGGTTTTACTGACACCTAGTGGTTATAATCTAAAATGTTAAAAGACAACATACAATTATCACAAAAATGTTCATATTTATAAAAATCATAAATGAATATAGTGATAAAAATTCATACATTTTAAACTCTCTTTCCAAAAAGAAGTTAAAATTGCTTAAATGGCATCTTATACCTGAAATATTTTTATCCTAAAATTTCAAACTCTTTAACACTTGATTATAAGCAAGCCTATAATGCTATTAGCTTATCTTTTCACTCATATCTTTCAGTTACAGGTTTTGAATCAGTATGAAAGACATTTCTAATAATGAGAAATGTTCAACAACGTTATTGACTAAGCATCTACCATAACTCAAGCCCAGTGGTCTGGCTTTGAATCTGCTTTCAAACTCCACCTTGTGTTGCTCAGAGTGGCTTCGCAGGCCATGCTTGTAGCCCTCACATGGCCTAAATGCAATGATGCCTATGCTAGAGAAGATTACATTCTACCTCTCTGATCTATTTTAGTGATATGGGAATTTATGTCAGGAATGACAATTTCTTTTTTATTCTTTTTTCCCTTCTTTTTTTTTTTTTGAGACGAAGTCTTGCTCTGTCGCCAGGCTGGAGTGCAGGGGCACAATCTTGGCTCACTGCAACCCCCGCCTCCTGGGTTCAAGTGATTCTCATGCCTCAGCCTCCCGAGTAGCTGGGATTATAGGCATGTGTCACCACACCGAGCTAATTTTTGTATTTTTAGTAGAGACGGGCTTTCACCATGTTGGCCAGGATGGTCTTGATCTCCTGACCTCATGATCTGCCTGCCTCGGCCTCCCAAAGTGTTTGGATTACAGGCCTCGTGAGCCACTGCACCCAGCCAGGAACGACAATTTCAATATATTTACTATCTGTCCTTCATTTTATTATTATTTAGCTTCTGTTAGCTCAGTGTTAGCCAAAACATCAGAAAGAAAGAAAACTTATGAGAAGGGTATTAGCAAATGTGTGAAAAAGTCAAGTACTCCAAAAAGTATTTGGAGCTTATAATTCCTTTAAAAGTCATACTGAGGGTCACAGTTGGGAAGCCAGCATTTTGCATATGTTATGATGGTCCCATAACCATCCAAATGTTAATGGTACCCATTTTCTTCCATCCTGGAAGAGTTTTATGTTCCCAAACCATTTGCAAAAGTTGCTTAGTTATGAAAAGTCATCTAGACATATGGAACCTAAGTATGCTATCTTGTAATTTCCCATAAAATCCTTCAGGTACTTGAAGAAATTCTTCATAAACTTTGTTTCCATTTAACATTCTTTTCTCCAGATAACACATAATGTGTTATCTCTAAGCTTTCTCACAGCGACAATGCCCTAACCTCTCAATTATTTTGGTTTCTCTCTAGGATGGACTAGGATTGCAATTAAGCTTAACCCATTCAGTGTGGGGTTTATAGATATCTACTTCTTTTAATACATTGAATTAATTTATGGATTTATAGAGCATAGGTCTGGCATCTGCAAAGTGTTTAATGGACTGGATCATTCTAAAGGGGAATTAGAGGATTATGAAAGATAATCCAGCTCAAATCAATTTTAAAGTTTTTTTTTTTTTTGAGAAGGAGTCTCGCTCTGTCTCCCAGGATGGAGTGCAGTGACGCGATCTCGACTAACTGCAACCTCCACCTACCGGGTTCAAGTGATTCTCCTGCCTCAGCCTCCCGAGTAGCTGGGACTACAGATGCCCGCCACCACGCCTGGCTAACTTTTGTATTTTTAGTAGAGACAGGGTTTCACCATGTTGGCCATGATGGTCTTGATCTCCTGACCTTGTGATCCGCCCACCTCAGCCTCCCAAAGTGCTGGGATTACAGGCGTAAGCCACTGTGCCCGGCCCAATTTTAAGGTTTCTAAAAACTAGTTACAGATATTTTTAAATTGGTAATAACAATAATAATCAGCAATAGCCCTAATTAAAAATTTTTGGTCTTCTTGTCAAAACTAATACCTTATAAATTTTTGGGTGATCATAAAGACTGTTTAACAAGATGAAACCAGCCCAGTGATGGATAACAGGTGTGACTCTAATGTTTTAAATGCTTTTAATGCAATAATTTATTTTAAATTATTCTTTGTACCTCACAAAGACAGCAAGTTATTAGAAGAAAGTATACTAGATTAGAAGTAAGGAGATTTGGGTTCCAGCTTTAGTCCTACTCCCTACTAGGCTTGTCACCTATTGCAAATCACTTAAAATCCCTGAGCTTTGGTTTCTTTATTTACATCATTTACTTCATTTAGCTCCACTGCTAGGCTGTAAAAAACATGAAGTATTCATGACTGTTCACTGCTGTATCTGCAGCCTCATTCCCAAGGCAGAGCAGGCACTCAGCTAATGTTTGCTGGCTGATCGAATTAAGGATTAGAAACTAAAAAACACAAATATTGTCATGCATGCTTCAGAAGGTTGCCATGAGGCTTAATGTTATAGTGAAATACCATATGGGAAAATGGGTACATTCTTTTTTTAAAAGTTTTTAAATGTGGATACATTCTTGGTACCTAACTTAAAAGAAATTAAGGTAAATGGGTTAATAATTATAAGTTATTTTAAATCACTACTTTTATATATTTATAAGTATTCTGAGAAAAACAGACTCAGCCAGGTGCGGTGGCTCATGCCTGTAATCCTAGCACTTTGGGAGCCCAAGGCAGGCAGATCACTTGAGCCCAGGAGTTGGAGACCAGCCTGGGCAACACAGCAAGAGCTCATCTCTACAAAAAATACAATAACTAGCCAGACGTGGTGGTGCAAGCCTGTAGTCCCAGCTACCTGGAAGGCTGAGGTGAGAAGATCACCTGAGCCTGGGGGTCAAGGCTGCAGTGAGCTGTGATGGTGCTGCTGCACTCCAGCCTGGGTGTCAGAGTGAGACCTTGTCTCAAAAAAATAAAAATAAGAATAAGTAAAAAGAAAAATAGGCTCTATCTATCTAAAGGCTCCGAAGACTTCAGTTACTGCTTACGATTAGCAAGGCTTTGGAGAGAAAATAATCTGTGATTTTAATACTGCAGGTAAATTCTCTAACACATTCAGATTAAAAAGTCAAATGTTAATTCCCTATGCTACAGCACAGTCATAATATGTAATACCTTAACCATATTTTAAAAAGATAAGAGATGGATGCCTGCTAACCTTGAAAGATCTAAGACATTCTCTTAAGTGAAAAATAAAATATGCAAATAATGTTTATATTTATATAAATAAAATCAAGCTATATATTTCTAGATTTTCAAATACATTTGTATAGGAGTATCTCAAAAAAGGCCTAGATGGTTCATACCTAACTGGTAACAGTGATCTGCCTTCGAGGAGGGGAGTGAGACTGTATAAGGGCAAACAGAGATTTTTGCTTTATTGGCATTGCCTGAAATTTTTTAATAGCAGGAATGTGAAAAAATAGATGAGAGCATATTACTAATCCACTGAATTCCTTAAGCCTTACTTGAATATTGAAGCTGGTCCTTGCAGGAAGGGAGCACTGCAGCTTTCAGTAGCACAACGTTTAGGCATCCTCTCTTCTTTTTTTTTTGAGACAGAGTTTTTCTCTTGTTGCCCAAGCTGGAGTGCAATGGTGCAAACTCAGCTCACCATAACCTCCGCCCCAAGTTCAAGCGATTCTCCTGCCTCAGCCTCCCGAGTAGCTGGGATTACAGGCACACGCCACCACGCCCGGCTAATTTTGTATTTTTAGCAGAGATGGAGTTTCTCCTTGTTGGTCAGGCTGGTCTCAAACTCCCGACCTCAGGTGATCTGCCCGCCTCAGCCTCCCAAAGTGCTGGGATTACAGGTGTGAGTCACCACGCCTGGCTAGGCATTCTCTCTTATAGTAGGTGAAATAGTTTTCCTATAGAGAAGAAAAGCTAAATGGCTGACAGCACTGATATTGAACATTAAATATTGTATGTACTAAAAAAAACTAACCCGTAAAATTAGAAGGACTAAGGAAAAATATATTTGCTGGTTACATATAATGGTAATAGAAAGCTAGTAATTAAATATAATTCTCATTAGAATTACAATGTAGCCTTTGAATATTCTATTAAATAAATGAATTCAATTAGTTTCATTTTCAAATTAGCTTTATTTTATCACATTTGATTGGCCCAGTCCATCAGACAAAAAGACATATTGACTAAATACAACATAATTTCTATAACCTGAGGGGACTCGCGCATCATTACCTGATTGCTTGCTGACTTGGCTGTTGATTGGTTTCATGACTTCGAAGCTCCCCTCCTATGACAATTCTTCCTCCTCTAAGGACTTCCTCATTGCTGATTCTTCATCCTGCTCTAATAGCTCTGTCTCTTCCATAAACTTCCTTTCCTGGGATGACCTTCTGTCATATGTTGTTCTTTGTACATAGTCTCCATCTAAAAGCAGCCCCTGCGTCTGTGACATGCTCTGCTCCGGGAATTCAGAGGCCTCCAGTGACTCTGTCACTGCTCCAGGACCACCAGGCTCATCCTCTGGTTCTGGAGACCGATGTGTTTCTTCCTTATGCTCATACATATACAGTCTCTTTTCAACCACTTCACGGATCAACACTGAAAAGTTAAGTGTCCAGACATCATTATGATTTTCATATTATGGTATATTTTAGGAGTTATAGTGCTGACTTATAGATGATTACAAAACCTTCACGAAGCCTCATCCCTTTCCTATGTCATAACCTTTTTTTTGAAGTCAGCATACTTAACTTCACACTTAATGCATTAAATATAAATTATACTGTTTTAACAGAATATCATTTATGAAGTAAAGACAGAAGATATTAATAGATATCAAATTATAAAAGAGCCAAAGATAATATTGAGGGTAAAAATTTGCACTTCTATTAATATAATTGATATACTAAAAGTTTAAGTATTAGAACTGTGAAATTAATCTTTCAATTATTCAATTTATTCTTTCTACTAAAAATTTTAGAGATGAATTTTTGGATAAAATAACTTACTGTCAAGCACTGTTCTTCCCACCATGCTATATTCCATGGTTTTTTCAACTTCATTCATTAGCCATGGAAGAAATCCTATCTCAATATCTGTAATAAAAGAATTCATTGATTTTTATGTATCGTCAGAGGAATAATGTGCTTTTCTCCTAATGTAATAGACTCAGCAACATTAGTTTCTTAATATAAAATGTTAAGTAGACTCATACAGCATAACTTGCCATATTCCTTATATATGTTCTGGTCAGTTTCCTTTCTGTTGCATAAGTGATTTTTTTTTTTGAGAGAGTCTCGCTCTGTCGCCCAGGCTGGAGTGCAGTGGCACGATCTCCGCTTACTGCAACCTCCGCTTCCCGGGTTCAAGTGATTCCTCTGCCTCAGCCTTCTGAGTAGCTGGGACTATAGGCGCACGCCACTACGCTTGGCTAATTTTTGTATTTTTAGTACAGACGGGGTTTCACCATGTTGGCCAGGATGGTCTCAATCTCCTGACCTCGTGACCCACTCACCTTGGCCTCCCAAAGTGCTAGGATTACAGGTGTGAGCCACCACACCTGTCCCAATATTTTAAGAACTATGAGGCCTTCCTTGGAGTCAAGGCATTTGGAGTTTCCTTCGTAGGTGCAATCTGAGATGGATCAGGGAGGCAGGGGGAGGATGTGGGTTTGGGAGAACTCCAATCCAAATGCAATGCAAATCTGGAATTGAGCAATGCCAGTAAAAGAAAGTCTCCACCTGAAGGCCAGGGCCTAATGGAAGGAAGCTGATCAGACTCAGAGAACGCAGGTGAGAGGGCATTTGAGGAGGCAGCCATCTAGAAATAGGTCAGAAACTAGGTGTTTCCATTAGTATTAAGTTTGTTCAAACTGAAATCCACTGTGTAAGCATTTTAAAAATATGATCTATTACAATATACATTTTAAAGTTTCAAAACAGCATTTTTTGGGGCAGGCATCTAATTTTATTTTTCAATAGGATGAAATGGAGAGTGTGATAGAATATTATATTCACTACTATAAATAATTTTAATCTCAGGTATGAATTTCATTTGCAAGCTTTTATATGATCTATAACTTACTTTTTTGGCAATCAGTGATAGAAAAAAGGCTACTTGTCTCTCTGGCTAACAGAGTCCAAGCTAGAGCCCAGGACAGCAGGATGGTAGCCGAGAATGAACACTGGACTTGGAGTCTGAGTTCCAAGTCAGTTTGAGGCCTAATATTTCCACTGCCTGAGGAGTTGGGAGCAAGGCATTCAACTTCTCTGAGCTTCAGTTTCTATTTCCGAAAAAATGGGAATTCTATCTGACCTGCCTATCCTACAGGGTTATTGGGAGTATCAAATGATATCACCTATGAAAAATACTATGTATGTTAATAACATTTGTCTGTGATCTCACCTCTTTGTATTAAATTGAATATGTAATCAGTGAAAATTAACATTACTAACATGTGTCCCAAAATACTACTGCCCAAAAAATAGGACCTCTACACCAAGCACGGTGGATGTACATGCTTTTCACCCTGAGGAAGGTGGGTGGTGGTGAGGACATGCAACTCTTCCTTTCCACTGGCTGAGCAGCTAGAACCGCGGACTTTGAGGGGATACAGACAGACAGCTATCAGGCTATTGGTTCCCTAATGGCAGAGACCAGGGATCCTTCCTTTTCTCCAATACCAAACATTGCCTGGAACAGGGTAAGAGCCTAATTAAACGAATAAATGACCTTGATAGTTGCCCTCAAAGGGTTTTTGATTGGAGTAAGTCAACTGAGAAAAAGTTAATAACAACTACTTACGCATACATAGGACTTTACAGTTTACACGTTTCATATATCTTATGACTTAACTCCTAAATAATCCTCATTTCAGGTTGGGCACAGTGGCTCACGCCTATAATCCCAGCCCTTTGGGAGGCCAAGGCAAGCGGATCACTTGAGGTCAGGACCAGCCTGGTCAACATGGCGAAACCCCGTCTCTACTGAAAAACACAAAAATTAGCTGGGCGTGGTAGCAGGTGCCTGTAATCCCAGCTACTCGGGAGGCCGAGGCAGGAAGAATTGCTTGAACTTGGGAGGTGGAGGTTGCAGTGAGCCAAGATCGCGCCACTGTACTCCAGCCTCGGCAAAAGAGTGAGAATCCGTCTCAAAAAAAAAAAAAAAAAATCCTCATTTCACACATGGAGAAACTGGAGGTCATCAAGCTAGCTAATGATAAAGCTGCAACCCAAACTCAAATTTTCAATACCAAGTCCATATGTCTTTCTACTATACAAATGTTGCTTCTCAATAAACAAACACTAATATCCTTAAATCAAGATCTTCAAAATACACATCTCATTAACAACTGTACTTACTTTAAACAACTAAAATTGACTTTGTATCAGAAATAAAGATTCCAATTCAAAATAAAAATGGACATAACATAAATTTGAACCATTAAGAGGATGCTTATTAAAACAGAATTAATCTAACAAAAATATCTACAAACCTCTTTCAATGGGATCATAAAAGTAGCCACTATCCCTGAGGCTGCCAAAAACAGACGGGAGAAGGTCAGCCAGGTAACGCTGTGCAAATGCTCGGGCGGCGATTTTTTGTGATGTCTCATTGTGCTTGTGCACTATTTCCCACTGCTGTTTCTTACGCCGTTCCTGCCAAAACAACATAGGTGGTTATTTAGCTCTTATGCCCTCCCCAAGTACTGAATCTAGTGAAGTTAATAAGTAGAAGAATCCAGACTTATCAAAAAATGGGCAGTGAGGTGTCTATCTATTAAAGGTCCATATTTTTCATCAAAATTTTAACAAATTTCAACAGCTAGTGGGTACTGAATTCAGGAAGTTATAAAAGATGGAATTTAAGGTAAAAACCTCACTATTCATTTCAAGTAAAATAATTTCAAGACATACATGCTTGACAGTATAGATGGTAGCAAAAAGATAATCACCACTATATGTACTTTAAAATAATATTATCATGAAATATTACTGGTAAGAAAAATTACCAGTGGGCCAGTGAATGAGTTCATTTGTAACAATTCCCTGAATTTGTAAAGCTGAATGGTTCTGAAGATTATGAAAGCCTCTTATTTTTTGCTGTTGCTTCCTTTAGACCATGTAATATTTATAAAGCTGATGAATCCTGTTCTCTACTCTCACGTGGAAGTGGGAGCATTAATATATTTTCTAATTAAATCTATATTTAAACTCTAAACAAATATAAGTCTAGGTGATTCCTGTATCCAGTTTTCCATAATATATTTCCAAATAGTGAATAAACAAATATTTTTTGATAAAGATTTCATGACTCATTTCAACAAAGTTTATTTTGCCACAATTCATTTTATATTTGTAAATAAAATCTTACTTTTGCACAATCCTTATTGTAAGCCCTATGCTCTTTACACAACTAAGTATTCATCTTGGAATTAAAGTCCATTTGATAGGTATTGAGTAGGATTTCCCAACAATTACGCTATTTTTCATAGCATAGTAAGTTAGGCCCCTTGGGAATTTTTTCTGAACTGTTTCAGGTATTAAGATACTACTTTATAATTGTTCATCAGTATACAACAAAGGCTGACAGTTATTGCCAGAACCAGAAAGACTATCTATTCTAGTGCTTCCTAACTGTAGGCTACCGGCACATTTAAAAAAACTGGATTGTAAACCTCTCCTTATTGAAGATTCTAAAAATCCTGAATCTGAAAAATATTCTATAAGAACCCAAATCAGTCTGGTGTGTCACTAAGGGTATAAAGAAGGGCCTGGTCACCAAGAAAAAGAATCAGAATTCTATCCAGATGCCCTGCTTCTTACCCACAGTCTCTCTCCAATACACTCACTTTTTCCTTCCTTCCATCTTTCTGCCACTAACTTACGGCAAACCAACATATGTCTTTCTTTCTTTAGCACTGCTGATGTTTAAGAGTCTTCAACTGGGACACATGTAACCTAGGAACTTTTACTTTATTTAGAAACTTTTGGAAACTCACTTTAGGTATATTTATGTAAGCTGGAGTTTAAAAGATGGAATTCAGTCCACGAAAGATCTCTGATCTATAGAAGAGACCTGAGCAAAAATATTATAGATCTTTTTCTAATATATTCCCAAAGATCTTTAGTTTTATGATATATCATCACATGTAATTTTGAACATAATATGCTAACTAGCCAAAAGACTGCCTAAGAAAGAAAAATACAATTATATATACTTTTTCTTCTCGGTGTCGCCTCTCTTGCTCTTCAAGTCGTTGAACTTCAGCACGTTCACTATTCCGTAGTTCTTCATACTCACGCTGACTGGCCCGCAGGTTAGCCAGCTCTTCTTCTTCCATTACTTCCAGAAGAGACTGCTCAATTATCTTCCCCACCAAAACTTCTAACACTGGTTTAACTTCAAGATCAAAGTCAAAGAGCTTAAACATACAAAATAAAGCAAACTTAAAATTTTAATTACGAATCAAATGCTCAACAAAAATATAATGAATAGCAATAACAAGATATTATTTATTAAGTGTCTCCTGTGTGCCAGACACTGTGCTGGTGCTTTATTTATGGTTCCTAATCCTCAAAATCAACAACATTTTGTTTACAGGCAAAAATCTGTTAAGTCAAAGTTATGAAAAAAATGTATGCATTCATCAAAATGAACCCTGACACTGAAGAGGAATATCCTTGTCTGTCTTATTCTTTGCCTTCTCTGTTTGATTTTTATTTATTTATTTATTTATTTATTATTATTTTTTTTTTTGAGACGCAGTCTTGCTCTGTCGCCCAGGCTGGAGTGCAGTGGCCGGATCTCAGCTCACTGCAAGCTCCGCCTCCCGGGTTCATGCCATTCTCCTGCCTCAGCCTCCCAAGTAGCTGGGACTACAGGCGCCCGCCACCTCACCCGGCTAGTTTTTTTAGTATTTTTTAGTAGAGACGGGGTTTCACCATGTTAGCCAGGATGGTCTCGATCTCCTGACCTTGTGATCCGCCCGTCTCAGCCTCCCAAAGTGCTGGGATTACAGGCTTGAGCCACCGCACCCGGCCGTTGTTTTTATTTATTTTTAAATAACAGTTGGATGAATGAACAAATAAGAATAATAGATATTTTGGTGATTCATTGCTAGGATTTCTAGGCAAATATAACTTTCAGATAGCTTCTGAAGATTTATTTTATTTCCCAATTTCAATGACAGTTCTTTCAAGTTCCCACAAGTGTTAAAACTCATTTAGGTCATTATGAACATAATCATTGCCTTCTCTTCTTCAATTTCATAAACAGGCCCATTTATGCATTCCACACTGATAGAAAAATGTAATTATTAAAATTTTTTTAAAATGAGAGAGTATCTTTACAAAAGTTATGTAATCCACAAGCAACTAATTGTGGAATCTTTTATACCAGGGATATTATTTTTCCTTATTTAGTACAAATCTATCTTATATACATACATTAAGCAAGCATATAAACAAACAAAAATCAAATGTGGAAATATTCTAAAAATATTTTAAATGATTTTGTTTTTAATTGGCAAAGAAATCAGAACATGGTATTTCAAAACATTTCTGAGTACTATATGATAAAACCATTATAGATAATAATCTGGAAAGAAATTCAAGAAGTAGAATCTGATTGTGAAGTGGCTCTTGTTCATATTAAGCATTATCTACACCTAACTTTACCTCATTTATAAAGATTATAGAGGGAACCCACAGGATATACTGTACCTCTCCTTCTAGTATCTGGGTGGCCACATCTTTGCCAGTTTTGGCAGGAATAAAGAGTGGTGTTGGTGGTCTGTCCAAAAATGCATCTGTTTGGCATTCCATATCAACTTCTATTATGCGATCAGCAATTTCTTCAAGGTATAATTCTAAGAAGAATCATCATATACATTGAGTTTAAAATTCTGGTCTAAGGCCAGGCACAGTAGTTTATGCCCATAATCCCAGCACTTTAGGAGGCCGAGGAGGGTGCATTACTTGAGGCCAGGAGTTTGAGACCAGCCTGTCCAACATGGCGAAACCCCATCTCTACAAAAAATATAAAAATTAGCTGGGTATGGTGGTGCGTGCCTGTGGTCCCAGTCACTTGGGAGGCTGAGGTGGGAGAATTGCTTGAACCTGGGAGGTGGAGGTTGCAGTGATCCAAGATCGTGTCACCGTACTGCAGCCTGGGCAACACAATGAGACTCTGTCTCTAAGACAAAAAGTTCTGGTCTATTTCAAGCATATATGCGTATTTGAAATTTTAGCTCTTTCAAAACATATTTAAATGAATCAGAAAATAAGTATTAGAATAAAAGTGTTCAAATATGGGGCTTACTTCACATACTGAACTAAGAGTTTTTAAATATTTGGAAGACCATAGATAGAGTTAGTCAGGCTAGAACATTTACTGAATGTCTAGAAAGCACTGAGCTTTGTATTTGAAAATGGAACTGAAGAAGAACATGAGACCATAGATGTGTATAAGATGCAGAGTACAACAGTGGATAAAAGGTCAGTAATACACATATATATATTTGCGTCCTAAGATAGTAAACATATAAAGATTTGAAAATTCCTGGATATTTAAAAAAATCATGTACCAAGTCACCAGGTTATTTGATGTTCCCTCTCACTACAGATTATAAACAGATGTATGAAAACAAATTTCATGTTAGGAGTAATTTATATGAGGCAAGGGTAATGTGGTATCAAGCAAAGAACATGAGCACTAGAGTCAGATGTTGGGCACAGGACTTGGCCAAGTCATGTCCTCTCTGGGCCTCAGTTTCTTCATCTGGAAAATGGGCTATAACTACCTGTCACACAGAATCTTTGTAATAATGAAGGAAGTACACAGATAAAGGACCTGGTTCAGTCTCTGAGGAAATATCCAAAAAAAGCTGGCTGCTATTATATCACTTAATATTCTGATGGTATAAAGAAACATGAAAACTTAGCTCTTTGGCTAATGACAGCCATACACACATTCTAGACTTGGCGTAAAGGCAAGTGTTAAAGCATGGAATGGTCCCTTTTGCCTTTACCATGCAGAAATAATCCTGATGGATCCACTCACCATCTTGGAAGGGTACAAAGTGAACCTTAAGTAGTGACAGTGGTCCAAGGAAAACACCAAGCACTGTCTGATGACCAAGATTCTGTCAACAATACAGCTAGACCCTATAGGACCAGGTAAACCTCTACAGCTGAGGACAGCAAGACAAGCACGCAAATCCTGACATCTGCCTCAGGGGTACCTGTGTGGCCCTGGGGAATGTGCACAGTGACAGAACTGGAGGACAGAGGAGGCTGGTGTGAGAGGCAGATGACTCAGATGGGAGTGGGTTTATTCCTCTCAAAAGACAAAATGACAAAGTAGAATTATATTGCTCTCCTTTCCTATAAGTCCTAATGAAAAGAATAGTGATTCATGTTGGGCTACGAGAAAGAATCCCAGTTTGAGAACAGAGTATGTGGAAAAGGGCTCCTAAGACAGAATTTGTTTGGTCACAAAATTCTTTTATTTATTTATTTGTTGCCCAGGCTGAGTCCAGTGATGTGATCATAGCTTACTGCAGCCTTGAAATCCTGGGCACATATAATCCTCCTGCCTTAGCCTACTGGGTAGTTGGAATTACAGGCATATACCACCATGCTTGACCAATTTTAAAATGTTTTTGTGGAGATGGGGTCTTGGTATGTTGCCCTGGCTGGTCTCGAACCCCTGGGCTCAAGTGATCCTCCTGCCTTGCCTCCCAAAGTGCTGGGATTACAGATGTGAGCCACTACGCTTGGCCAAAATTCTTTTTTTTGTTTGTTTTTTGAACCCCATCCCACACTTCCAGTCATATCCACTAAGATAATAGTATACAGTCTATGTATTTCTTTCTCTCTCTCTCTCTCTTTTTTTTTTTTTTGAGATGGACTTTAGCTCCTGTCGCCCAGGCTGGAGTGCAACGGTGCGATCTCGGCTCACTGCAACCTCCACCTCCTGGGTTCAAGTGATTCTCCTGCCTCAGCCTCCCAAGTAGCTGGGATTACAGGTGACTGCCACCATGCCCAGCTAATTTTTTGTATTTTTAGTAGAGACGGGGTATTTCACCACATTGGCCAGGCTGGTTTCAAACTCCTGACCTCAGGCGATCTGCCCGCCTCAGTCTCCCCAAGTGCTGGGATTACAGGTGTAAGCCAGCACACCCAACCTAGTCTATGTATTTCTTTAATAAATGAACTTCCCTACCATGTTACTGGGGAAGTATCAGCACAGGAGAGGCATAAATAACACAAAGGCCAAACACAAATGAACTGACAGACAACTGAGTAAACCAAGAGGACACAATGCCAAGGGCACAGTCACACACCTGTTTGCACATCGACATGCTTTCTGCCTTCCACAGGTTCAGGTGTTTGTGGTCTGAGCTGCTCTTGGGCTTGTTTTCTGGCAAGAGCCCTCTTCTTAGCCTCCCGTTGTCTCTGAAGCTCTAGAGAATCAGGCTGTCCGAGCTAACAGTGATAGAAAATACTTCTAGAATTTAGAAAATATTTATTAAAGCATACACGAACTGCCATTCCAAAAGCAATTCCTGGGTAGTATAAAGGCATTTATCATAATGTTTCCTGATTATCAGTAACTTCATTAAAATTGCATTAGTACTTTGTCAGATAATTACAAAGATGTTTGACAAAGCATAAAAGTAACTTCAAAGTATGGCTGTTAACTGGAATACATGGGTGCACAATCCTATCTATATATTTACAAAAATAATAAAAACATTTCCTTTTTAATTCATTTGTTGACCTGCTGATCATTCAGGAGCATGCTGTTTAATTTCCATGTATTTTTGTAGCTTCCAAGGTTCCTCTTATTATTGATTTCTAGTTTTACTTCATTGTGATCAGCAAAGATACTTGATAGAATTTCTACTTTTTTGAATTTGTGCAGACATGTTTTGTGGCCTAAGATATGGTCTATTCTGAAGAATGATCCATGTGCTGAAGAAAAAAATGTGTACTCTGCAGAGGATGGATAAAATGTTCTATAGATATCAGTTAGTCCTAATAGGTCTAGTGTGAAGTTTAACACCAATTTTCCTTTCTTTCTTTCTCTTTTTTTTCCTTTCTGTTTGGATTATCTATTCATTACTGAGAATGGGTTGTTGAAATCTCCTACTATTATTGCATTGCTGTCTATTTCTCCCTTTAGATCCATTCATGTTTGCTTCACATAATTGGGAGCTCTGGTGTTGGGTGCATATTTATCATTGTTACATCCTCTGGCTGAACGGATCACTTTATGATTACAGAGTGACTATGTTTCTTTCTACAGTCTTTGATTTGTAGTTTATCTGATGTAAGTATACTCATGTTCTTTTTTGGTTTCTAGTTGCATGGAAAATCTTTTTCCATCCCTTTACTTTCAGTCTATGTGTGTCTCTGTAGGTGAAGTGGGTTTCTTGTAGGAGCATACAGTTGGGTCTCGTTTCTTTATCCAATCAGCTATTCTATGCCTTTTAATTGGAGAACCAAGTCCTCTTACATTCAGTGTTGTTATTGATAAAGCAAGGACTTCCTACTACCATTTTGTTGCTTATTTTCTGGTTGTTTTGTATCTCCTTCCTTCTTTATTGTCTGTCTTTGTGTTAAGTGACTTTATCTGGTAGTATATTTTAGTTTGTTGCTTTTAATTTTTGGTGACTCCACTACAGATTTTTGCATTGTGGTTACCATGAGGCTTACAAAAAACATAGATATAGCAAGTTGTTTGCAGAGATGACAACTTATCTTAGATCACAAAGAACAGAAGCAAAGAAAAATTATTCTACACTTTAACTCCATTCCCCCACATACTAACTTTCAGTTGCCTCATTGCACTTTTTTTTTTTTTTTTTGAGACCAAGTCTGCACTGTCGCCCAGGCTGGAGTGCAGTGGCGTGATTACCTACCTCTTAACAGGTTGCTGCAGCTATTACTGTTTTTGATAGTTGTCTTTTGGGCCTCATAGTAGAATTATGAGTGGATTGCATACTACAGTTATAGTATGAGAGTATTCTAGGTTTGTCTATGTACTTAATTTAACCAGTAAGTTTCATACCTTCAAATGTTTTCTTTTGGCATATTAGTGGTTTTTGTTGTTGTTGTTCAGGCTGAAGAATTTCCTTTAATGTTTCTTGTAAGATGAGCGTGGTGGTGCTGAATTTGCTCAGCTCTTATTTGTCTAGGAAAGACTATGTCTCCTTCATATTTGAGGGATAATTTTGTGGATACAATATTCTTAGATGATTTTTTTTCTTTCAGCACTTTGAAAATGTCACCCCAGTCCCTCCTGGTCATCTCACTCCCTCCTGGCCTGTACAATTTCCATTGAGAAGTCAGCTGCCAGATGGATTGGAGATGCTTCATGTATGTTATTTGCTTCTTTTCTCTTGCTGCTTTTGGGATTCTTTTTTTGTCCTTGACCTTTGAGAGCTTGATTATTCTATGGGGTATTATTTGGGGTGAAAGAGTTTGGTATTCTCTGACCTTCCTGTACCTGGATATCTATCTCTTTCTCAAGTTTTGGAAAGTTTTCTGTTAGTATTTCTTAAAACAAGCTTCCTACTCCTTACTCTTACTCAATTCCCTCTTGAACACAGGTAATTCTTAGCTTTGATCTTTTGGGGTAATTTTCTATATCTTGTAAGCAGTCTTTGTTTTTTTCTCATTCTTTTCTCTCCTCAGACTGTTTATTTTCAAATAGTCTGTCTTTGTCTTCATGTTCACTGATTCTTTCCTCTGCTTGATTCATTCTGTTGTTGAAAGCCTCTAATACATTTTTCAGTTCAACAAATGTATTACTCAGCTCCAAGATTTCTGCTTGATTTTAAAAAATTATTTCAATTTCCTTGTTAAATTTCTGTAACAAATTTCTAAATTGCTTTTCTGTGTTATCTTAGATGTCACCAAATTTCCTTAAGACTGCTATTTTGAATTTTTGGTCAGAGAGCTCACATCCTGCCATCTCATTAGTGCCAGTTACTGATTCCTTGCTTTGTCCCTTCAGGTAGGTAGGTCGTGGTTCCTCATTTGCTGTTGTTTCATGTGGATGTATGTCTATGTCTCTGCACTGAAGGGTTATTTAGTCCAGTCTTCTCTGTCTGGCTTGTTTTTGCTTTTTATTGGATATATTTTCTTAGAAACCCCCCCTTTTTTTTTCCCCTTTTTTGAGACAGAGTCTCACTCTGTCACCCTGGCTGGAGTGCACTGGTGTGATCTTGGCTCACTGCAACCTCTGCCTCCTGGGTTCAAGCAATTCTCCTGACTCAGCCTCTCAAGTAGCTGGGATTACAGATGCCTGCCACCACATCTGGCTAAATTTTGTATTTTTAGTAGACATGGGGTTTCATCATATTGGTCAGGTTGGTTTCGAACTAATGACCTCAAGCGATCTGCCTGCCTCGGCCTCCCAAAGTGCTGGGATTACAGGCATGAGACACTGCGCCCTGCCAGAGATCCTTTATCACTAGATTGCTGCCTCCTTTTTGGCTCTAGGTGGTGCCTTAAGGCCAGGTTCACCTGGCTCTAGTAAATGATCAGAGCACTGCCCATCCTGAATGGGGGAGGTCCCAAAGGGGATACACTGGTAGTGGGACTGGCTAGGGGTCTATGCCCAGGGGACTGGTACAATGTTATCTCCTACAGTGTGGTGCTGCTGAACAGCCATGCTCATTTGGTGTTTCCTTTGATCGAGTTATACAGCGGAGTGTCCAGGGCTGGGGATGGTAGTCTCACCTCCCCATTTTGTCTTTGGCTGTACTCAGGGGTATTTCTCTCTTCAGGAACTCATGATGCTTCTTGTGGGTTGAATTTCCTGCCAGGGAACCCAACACAGTAGGGAAACTAGTTGTCCACCTTGATCTTTTTCCAGTGCAGAAATCACAAGTCAGAGATAAATCCTTGTGATGGTTAATACTGAGTGTCAACTTGACTGGATTGAAGGATACCAAGTACAGATCCTAGGTGTGTCTCAGGGTGTTGCCAAAAGAGACTATCATCTGAGTCAGTAGGCTTGGAAAGGCAGACCCACCCTTAACCTGGGTGAGCACAATCTAATCAGCTGCCAGAGTGGCTAGAATACAAGCAGGCAGAAAAATGTGAAAAGAGAGACTGGCCTAGCCTCCCAGCCTACATGTTTCTCCTGTGCTGGATGCTTCCTGCCCTCGATCATTGAACTCCAAGTTCTTCAGTTTTGGAATCTGGACTAGCTCTCCTTGCTCCTCAGCCTGCAGATGGCCTATTACGGGACCTTGTGATTGTGTGAGTTAATACTTAATAAATTCTACTGCATATATATATATCTGTTCCATTAGTTCTGTCCCTCTAGAGAACGCTAATACAATCCTCCACATCCTTAGTGCCAGGCAGACTAGAAGGAGAGATACTGCAGACATGAACGTCTGATTCTCCTACCACTTTCTTGGAGCTTTTTCACTTTTCTGTAGCCCTGGGAAGTGCCTCCTCCTTCTACTTGACCTCTAGAATATTGCTGGTGGTAATCTCGGCACTGTATATTTGTTCTTGATTTTCTTTTGCAGGGGGAGTGAAGCCGGCCTGCTTCTATGCTGCCGTTTTGGAACTCCTGAAAAATATTTTCACTGGATTAGAATTAGAGCTTGATAGTTCTTTCCTTTAAGGACTTGGAAAATATTGTGCCACTTTCTTGTCTCCATGTTTTAGGTAAGAAATCCACTGCCATTTAAATCATTGTTCTCCTTTAGCTAATGCGTAATTTCTTTCTGGCTGATTTCAAAATGTTTTGTTTTTAATTTTCAAAAGTTTGATCTTGATTTGTCTCGGGTAGATTTCTCTGGGTTTATCCTCTTTGGGGGAGTCACTTGGTTTCTTGGATCTGTAGGCCTTTTGCCTACAGATTCAAGATTTCCATCTCCTAGTTTTCCTCCTCTCCTTCTAGGATTCCAACAACATGAATATAAATCTTTGTGATTGTTCTTCAGCTCTCTCAGGCTTTTTATTTATTTATTTGGTCTATTTTCTCTCTGTTCAGCTGGATAACTTCCATTCTTCATTGATTTTTCTTCAAGTTCATTGATTGTTTCCTATATCATTTCCAATGAACTACTGAGTCCATCCAGTGAGTTTTTTATTTTAGTTATTGTATTTTTCAGTTCTATAAGTTTCCATTTGGTTCACTTTATCTTCTATTTCTTTGCTAAGATTTTTTTTTTGTTTCAAGAGTGTCTACAATTGTCCACTTTTCATTGAAACATGTTTGTTGCTTTAAAATCCTTGTCAGGTAATTCCCACATCTGAGTCATCCTGGTTTTGTCATTTCTTGATTGTCTTTTCTTGTGCAAGTTGTGACTGTCCTGATTCTTGTATGATAAGTGATTTTGGTTTGTATCCTGGCTATTTTGGGTATTATATTTGAAGACTTTGGATCCTATTTAATTTTTCAGTAGAAAGTCACCCTTTTTGTTTAGTGAACAAGCCTGTGTGGGGTTAGAAGTTCAACTTCCTGCTGGGCCCCACTGTCACCACCTCAACAAAAGCAGAGGGTCAACCTGTACCAACACATAGGTGCCAGGTGGGGGTGGTAGTTCAGCTCCTTTCTAGGCTCTGTTGACACTGGTGGTGGTGTCTGGAGAGTGCAGCATTGACTAGTACTGCCTCATACCACCTTGTTACTGCCAGATAGGACTGCAATTCAGCTACCTACTGGATTTGCTGGCACCACCCCAGAAAGAGTGGGGCACTGACTTGTGCCATCTCCTACTACCTCACTGGTACTGGGTGAAAGTCCAGCTTCCTGCTCCACCCTTGTTGATACCACCTCAGTGGGAGAAGCAGGGAATCCCTGGAGGTTCTAATGCAAGAGATCCAGGATAGGGTTGAAGCGTATATACATACATACATACATATATATATATGTTTAATAAGTTAACCATTGCTTCAGACTAATAGATGTTCCCCAACTTATGTGGTTTATGACTTTTCAGCTTTATGATGATACAAAAGTATCCACAGAGAATGTACTTTGAATACTCATACAACCATTCTATTTTTCACTTTAATATTTAATAAATTATATGAGATATTCAACACTTTATTATAAAATAGACTTTGTGTTAGATGATTTTTCCCAACTGTAGGCTAATGTAAGTATTCTGAGCACTTTTTTTTTTGAGACAGGGTCTCGTTCCGGGAACATACCTTAGGTGGATTCTTCACATGCCTCATTTGACATTCAACAACATTGGATTTGAATGTTATTATTCATCTTTAACTTCTTTTTAATCACTTATTTCTTGATACTCGCTGCCTCAGACTCCGATTCAGGCACACTGAGCTTCCCTCAATTCCTTAACATTCTAGGTTGTGTTTTTTTGTTTTTGTTTTTTGAGACAGGGTTTCCCTCTGTCACCCAGGCTGGAGTGCAGTGGTGTGATCACAGCTCACTGCAGCCTTGTCCTCCGGAGCTCAATCAATCCTTCTGCCTCAGCCTCCCAAGTAGTTGGGACTGCAGGTGCGTGCCACCATGCCCAGCTAATTTTTGTGGGTTTTTTTTTTTTTTTTTTTTGTAGAGACAGGGTTTCACCACTTTGCCCAGGCTGGTCTCAAGCACCTTGGCTCAAGTGATCTGCCCACCTTGGCCTCCCAAAGTGCTGGGATTACAGGCGTGAGCCACCATACCTGGCCTCTGAGCATATTTAAGGTAGGCTATGCTATGCTATGCTATGGTGTGTTTGGCAGGTTTGGTGTTTTAAATTCATTTTTAATGTTCAGTGAGTTTATTGGGACATAACCTCATCCTAAGTAGAGGAGCATCTCTATCACCATCTTGTATTAGGCACTTATATGTCATATACAGTTTAGAGATTCACCTGTATTTCATTTCTGTGCCAAGAACTCACCACCCTTAATATCATACCATGTCTTACTCATCTCTGTATCCTAGGTACCCATAACAGGACCTGAAAGTCAATAAGTATCTGTTGAGTGAATTAAAGCAGCAGAATTCAGACTTTTTGATTAAATAACGATAATTGTATTAGAGTATGAGATAATCTAAACAAACCTAGATGCAATCAACAAGGGCTACTCAAAATGTGGGCCTCTGGCTAGTGTGTCTATAAACTATTTGAACTGGTCTGTAACAATTTAAGTAAAGAAATTGAGAGTAAAAGTCTAGAAATGTTTAGAATGGCAGAGTTCTGTTGAATCTAATGAAAAATTGGGGCTTTTTTTTTTAGTTAATTCTTTTTTTGTGGTAAAATACACATAATGTAAAATTTATCACCTTAACCATTTTTAAGTATAAAATTCAGTGGTATTAATCACATTCACATTGTTCTATCACTGTCACCATCCTCTATCTCCGGAACTCTTTTCCCCTTGCAAAACCGAAACTCTACACTCATTAAACAGTAACTCCTTCCCTGGCCCCCTCATCCCCCAGCTCCTGGAAACTCACTGGGCTTCCATTTGTATGTCTTTTTTAAAACTTCATTTTTATAGTAATTCATCTTTATTTTATGAATGTTTTAGTCTGCAATGGATTAGAAATTAACACAAAGAAACTGATCCTTCCCCACAGATAATGTGAGAACAGTGTTAGACTATTCAAACTTAACTTACCAGTGGCCCTGTCTGGAGTGCGTAAGTGTTGCCTCGAATTACCCTTCTGTCATACATTATGTTTCCATAACGCATAGGTTCTTCATCTCTGTAAAACAGAAAATCCTGTAAAACCATTTTAATAGAGTATTGGTATCTATGAAGTAACTCATTTTCAATAGGATTTAGACTAAAATAAATATATTTTAAGAAAACAAATTTCTGTTTCAGTGTGGTCCATAAAATAAGGAGGTAAATGGATACAATTTATGTAATGCTTACTATATGCCAGGTCCTTCATGTACATTATTTATTTATTATTCACAATAAGCTGCCAAGGTGGGAATTATGATTCCTTTTTCAGAAGGGGAAACAGACTCTGGAATCTGCCCAAGGTCACCTTGCTAGTAAGTGGCAGGGCTAGATTTAGATTGTAAATCTGTATGACTTTAGTAAATATGAAAATGGCCCACCTGAAAAGGGGCCTTCTTTAAAGGACTGAAAAAAGCTTGATTCAAAGATTGAAAAGTTACAGTAATAAAAAAATGAGGCTTAAAAATTAAGTCCATTTTCTAATTGTTCTTTAAACCCAAACGTATTTTTTTTTTTTTTTTTTTTGAGTCGGAGTCTCGCCCTGTCGCCCAGGCTGGAGTGCAGTCTCCGCCTCCCGGGTTCACGCCATTCTCCTGCCTCAGCCTCCCGAGTAGCTGGGACTACAGGCACCCACCATCTCGCCCGGCTATTTTTTTGTATTTTTTAGTGGAGGCGGGGTTTCACCATGTTAGCCAGGATGGTCTCGATCTCCTGACCTCGTGATCCACCCGTCTTGGCCTCCCAAAGTGCTGGGATTACAGGCTTGAGCCACCGCGCCTGGCCCCCAAACGTATTTTTTAAAGTTATTGTTTAAAATGTTAATAAAATTTTTCAGCCTGGCCAACATGGTGAAACATCATCTCTACTAAAAATACAAAATTAGCCAGACCTGGTGGCCTGCACCTGTAATCCCAGCTGCTCCGGTGCCTGAGGCATGAGAATGGTTTCAGCCCAGGAGGCAGAGGTTGCCGTGAGCTGAGATCAGGCTACTGAACTCCAGCCTGGGAGACAGAGAGACTTTGTCTCAAAAAATAAATAGATAAATAAATAAAATAAAATATTAATTTCAGGGATCAGAATGATTGCTAGTAAAAAATACAAAAACACAGTTGATATTTTCATTCAAAGTTATTTAAATGGTATATTGTTTATAGCTAAGAAACTAAACATTGCCCTATACCAACAACAGTATTCTATGGGAAATGATTCTGAGTGGGGTATAAGTTGCTTTTTTGTCATATATTGAAGCCACAATTGAACATTCTAACATGTTTCATTGCTTGTATTAATTGATCTCTGGGCAGTGTTAGGCCCAGTTGGCCACTCCTTCACTGAAGCATTCTCTTTCCTAGGCCTCTGTGTTACCACCATAATCTTCTGATTGTTTTTCTACTACTTCTCTAATGCCTTTTTCTTAGCCTTTGTTTGTAGTTCCTCCCATACTGGAGGATTTCCTCCAGGCTCAGCCTTCTCTTGTCCTTAGTCGACCTCATCCATTTTCAAGACTTCAATTATAATCCATATACCTAAAACTCCCAATTTTATTTAGCCAAGAACTCTTCTCTCAACTCTAGGCATATCCAGTTGCCCAACGACATCTCACTATGTTATCTGGAAGGCAACCTCAAAATGGAACTAATTATTACTCTCCCATTCCAACTCATTACTTCTTCAGTGTTTCCTATTTGATTAGATGGTACTACTAACCACGTAGTTGCCTTAAAATAACACATTTATTCTCAGAATCTGCAGTTTAGATGTCCAAAAGGGGTGTCAACAGGGCTGCACTCCTCCTGGAGGTCCTAGGGAGAATGTTTCTTTGCCTTTTCCAGGCTCTAGCGACTGCCCTCATTCCCTGGCTTGTGGTCGCCTTCCAGTCAGCATTTGTGTGATTCTGACCTTTGCTTCTAATGACACATCTCCTTCTATGACTCAGACTCCTATGCCTTCTTCTTTCACGTTTTTTTTTTTTTTTTGAGATGGAGTCTCGCTCTGTCACCCAGGTTAGAATGCAGTGGCATGATCTCGGCTCACTGCAAGCTTCGCCTCCCGGGTTCACACCATTCTCCTGCCTCAGCCTCTGTTGTACCTGGGACTACAGGAGCCCGGCACCATGCCCAGCTAATTTTTTTTTTTTTGTATTTTTTTTAGTAGAGACTGGGTTTCACCACGTTAGCCAGGATGGTCTCGATCTCCTGACCTCGTGATCCGCCCGCCTCGGCCTCCCAAAGTGCTGGAATTCCAGGCGTGAGCCACCGCACCCAGCCTTCTTCTTTCACTTTTAAGACTCCATTGTGATTCTACTGGGTCCACCTGGATAAGCCAGGCTAATTTCCCATCTCAAGATCTCCCATCTCAAGATCCTTAATGTAATCACATCTCAAAGTCCATTTTACCACATAGCATGTTCACAGGTTCTGGGGACGAGGAAGAGGACATCTTTGGGGAATCATTATTCTGCCCACTATAGTGATTTTAAACCTTATTTGATCTGAGTTTAAAAAAAAATGTTCTAAGGTATATTCTAAGGTTTTAATTCATTTGCATTAAAATGTTATTTTATTAGAAGGGCTATACATCCTTTACCAAAGGATTTGTAAAATGAGGATGTCATTATCACAATTGTCTTTTGACACATGCCTAAAGGTGAATTTAATGGTGTTTATGATCACCCAACTACCAAGAAATACATAAAAGATGTATTACATTCTCTTGTTTGTAAATGAGAAGACTAGTATTCAAATGTTCTCTTTCAGCTTTATAATCCTATGAAAAGGTGGAAGTTCTTGACTCACATTAGACTTGTGTTAAATTTCTAGACCCTTTCAAAGGAAAAATCAGATACTCCCATTTCTGTATAACTGACTTCTCACACCTAAGTAAAACTTCACAGCTTTCCAATTAAGTTTCATTTTCTGGTTTCAGCCCAGTTATATATATCCAATCAAGATAATCTGGAATCTTGACTCCCTTCAATCATAAGTTAGTTATCCATTCCAGCCATGAAAAACTGAAGATTTATCCAGTTCAATGTGAAATTTTGAACAGGAAACAACTAAAGGGCACTCTAGCATAGAGACAGATTGACACAAAAGCATACTCTTTTTGGATATGGTCATCTAGTTACTCACCAGCAAGTACTGAAAGTACTAAAAGTACTGCTGTGGTTTGGATGTGGTTTGTCACCCCACTAAAACTCACATGGAAATTTAATTTCCAATAAATTTGGGAAGAGGGGCCTAGTGGGAGGTGTTTGGATCATGGGTGGATCCCTCATGAATAGCTTGGCACCAGTTCTTGCAGTAGTGAGGCAGCTCTTACTCTCAAGAGACTGGATTAAGTTCTCACAGGACTAGTTCCCAGGAGAGCGGGTTGTTACAAAATGAGGTACTTCCTCCTGTTTGGCCACTTCCCACGTATCTGCTTCCCCTTTGACCTTCTCCATCATGTTATGATACAATAAGAAAAGTCCTCACTAGAAGGCAAGCAGATGCCAGCACCATGCTCTTGTACTTCTCAGTCTGCAGAGCTGTGAGCTAAATACATCTCTTTATAGACTATCCAGTTTCAGATACTCTGTTAAAGCAACATAAAAGGGATTAAGACAAGTACTCTCCTGAACACTTTTTTTTTTCCTGACATAGAGTTTCGCTTTGTTGCCCAGGCTAGAGTGCAGTGGCGTGATCTTGGCTCACTGCAACCTCTGCCTTTGGGTTTAAGAGATCCTCCTGCCTCAGCCTCCGAAGTACCTGAGATTATAGGCACATGCCACCATGCCCAGCTACTCTCCTGAACACTTAAAAAATATTTTATTCATAAAGGTATCAGAGGAGAATATTATCCTTACCCATAAGCAAATTATGGATAAAATATTAATATTTTATCCATTAGGATATCAATGATTATGATTTGTAAGATACTACTTTCTCAAAATTGAGATTTTTCTGTCTTGTGCATTACTCAGATATACTAAGCAACTAATCAACAGATTACTTTCAATATACTAATCACTATCAAAAAAGTTGTTCCTAATGAACCATCCTTGATTCTTGTTTCTAATTTGTTGGTCTGATTGGATAGTAATGATTTGTAAGCAACTACTTAAAGGCACCAGAAAGTGTTTTTGGAAGGATTAGAAAATTTTAAAATTGAATCCTTTTCTAACATAAATGACCACTCTTCAGATTTAAATTTTCTATTTTAGTTTTCTCACAGTGATAGACATCTCTTACAAAGAATGTCAGAACAAGTAATTATGAATTTAGAAACAGTGTTTGAACAAGCATCAATAATTACACTGTTGATATTCAATCATCAATTCGACAATTTGTATTAAGTGCTTACTATGTACCAGGCATTGTACTAGGTGAACAAAAGATGCAAAGGTTCCTGCATCCATGGAACTTGCATTCCTGTAAAGGTCTGCTGAATTCAACATTTGAGGCTTATGGAAATAATTTTAGAGAACCGTTTAACTTTAAGAGAACTTTAAGAGCTTATGTATATTTTTTTCTTTCCTATGTATGTTTGAATATTGCAACTGTTCATCGATGTAAAAACACAATCTGCCGGCCAGGCGCAGTGACTCACGCTTGTAATCCCAGCACTTTGGGAGGCCGAGGTGGGGTGGATCACTTGAGGCCAAGAGTTTGAGACCAGCCTGGTCAACGTGGCAAAACCCTGTCTCTACTAAAAAACACAAAAATTAGCCGGCGGTGGTGATGGGCGCCTGTAGTCCCAGCTACTTGGGAGGCTAAGGCAGGAGAATCGTTTGAACCCTGGCCAGGGGCGCGGGGGCGCGGCGGAGGTTGCAGTGAGGGGAGATCGCGTCATTGCGGTCCAGCCTGGGCGATAGAGCGAAACTCCGTCTCAAACAACCACCACCACCACCACCACCAGCACCACAAAAAACCAATACGTGGTCCTGCATGGAAGAATAATCTTACTCCTGCTCAAAGCCTGCAGAAGAGATTTACTCGGCTCCCATTTTGGATATGCTATTGTTGGATTATCCTTGCACCGCAGTTCCCTCATCTGCATAATGGAGTTATAAAACCAACTTCACAGCACTGTGGATTAAGTAAGAAAACGTATTTGAATGCCCCCAGTAAGGTGCTCAGCACGTAGCTGGCCCTCAATACACACTGGTACAATTCAAACTTTGTGAAATGAGCCGATTCGTGTACTGGTAAGGACCACGGCAGCAACTCAGTATCACTAAAAGTTAGCTGGTGCCCAATCCATGCCCTTCTGCTTCACTCCTCCACACCACGGGAGATTCCTTAGGGCAGAACTTTTATTTCGGCAGAGTGCAGCCAAGGGAAGACAGCATATAAGTAGCTTTTGCCAGGGCGAAGGGGCCAGACCCCGGCCCGGGGATGGGGTGCAAGTATGGACCACACAGGGGCTGGCCTGGTCACTCACGGCTGCGTCAGGCTGTCCCGGTAACGGCTGCGCTGGCAGGGCAGTGCTCGGGGCCGGCTGGTGTAGGTGTAGGTGCTCGGGCCCGAGAGGTGCCATCAGTCAGCGCCGAAGTCATGTCCGGGGGCAGACTGCCTCGCTTTCTGTGGAGCTTGGCTTTCACGCAGGTAGGCGCTAAGGTGTCGTGGGACCCGGAGAGATGTAAGTAGTGCCAAGGGCAAGGATTCCCCGACGCGAGGAGAAGCGACAACAAGGGAAGCGGGCGGGACGGGAGGTTACCAGCGTAGGAGGTGGGAGCTACACTGGGCTCGCTCCAGCACCACAGAGACCAGCTGCAGCGGCCCGCATCGGTTGCCCAGCAACCCGGGTTCTGAGCTGGAACTCCGACACTTCCGGCCCGCGGGTTTCCGGGGAAGGACTGCGGCGCAAGGCTCTTCCGGCTCTTGACTCCGCCCAGCCGCGCCCCCCGGGTAGGTGCGCCTGCGCTTTGGGAGGCTCCTGACTAGGGAGGCGGCCTTGGCTGACTTGAGCTCCCTTGACGGGGGTAATGGTGGCTGTCCTGGGCCCCGCTCTGGATGTGGTTTTGCAGGGCTGGTGTTGGCGCCATTCTCGCCCACGTGCTCCTGCTCTTCCAGGGCGTCCTTGGCTGTTTCTCTGCCGCGGCGCCGCAGCGCTCCCAGGCCGCCCCCGCGATGACAAACCTCTGGCAGCCAGGCTCCCAGCTCTGTTACGTGCCCGGGGAGGGAAGGGCTTCCTGATGTCTCCCGGCACCTCCACTTCCCCGCCCCAGGGCGGGCTGCCGCTGCCCTCTGCAGCTGAGTCCGTGCAGTTCCTCACCTGCCTTCTCTGCTCACCGCTGTGTCCTTAGCAATCGAGGACCCTTGGCACACGGAGCGACAAGGGCCACCCAACAGACATCTCATTTTGGGAAAGAAGTGGGCAATTTATTGAGTCTTAAAAAATATAAAGGAATAGTTCCCCTTCATCAGGCTCCCAGCTCTGAAGAATGAATCTAGTATCGCGGGGTGGGGCTGCGCTTAAAAACGCAGACGCTTTGTTTTTAGTATCGGCAACGTTAAAAATCTTGTATCTTGTGTGAGTGAATGTGTATCCCTTGTGATCAGTTATTTGCATTTACAGTTACACCTTCATTCAGCTAATTGCTGTCTTGATTTGAATCCAGATTCTACAATGTACTAGCTCCGAAACCTCAGGCAAGTTAAATGTTTTTGTGCTTCATTTTCCTAATCCACAAAGTGGCAATGGAAGAATTTATCTCTTTAGGTTTTGTCTTGAGGATTAAAACCGTTAATACTTAGAGCTGTGCCTGGTAAATGGTAAGCCTTTATATTAAGATCTGGACCCAGTCTCCACTTTGAAGTCTATGACATAAGGCAGATGTAGGCATTCCATAGAGGCGAAAACACTCCCAAAAGATTTTAGGTCTGATCATTTAATTTTGAGGTAATTTCTGAAAGGGCTACAGGAGAAAGTGACATTTAAGTTGTGTTTGATGAATGATAGTATTTTAACTGGCCAGCCTCTTGGGGGAAGTGCATTCGGAATGGCTTGATCAAAGGCTCAAAAAGTGCAAGATGTATTTGGAAAACTGTAAGCAAGGCTTGTGTAGATGAGTTGTAGAAATATCTAGAGAAGGAAAGGCTGGCACCACATCGTGGAAACCGTAAAAACTAGCGTATTAATTAGAATGTTTTTTTCCCTTGGCCGGGCGCGGTGGCTCAAGCCTGTAATCCCAGCACTTTGGGAGGCCGAGACGGGCGGATCACGAGGTCAGGAGATCGAGACCATCCTGGCTAACACGGTGAAACGCCGTCTCTACTAAAAATACAAAAAAACTAGCCGGGCGAGGTGGCGGGCGCCTGTAGTCCCAGCTACTCGGGAGGCTGAGGCAGGAGAATGGCGTGAACCCGGGAGGCGGAGCTTGCAGTGAGCCGAGATCCAGCCACTGCACTCCAGCCTGGGAGACAGAGCGAGACTCCGTCTCAAAAAAAAAAAAAAAAAGAATTTTTTTTCCCTCAAGTAACAAAAAACCAATTCAAAGTGGCTGAAATAATAAGGTCTCCCTCAGGTGACAGTCCTGAATAATAAGGAATTCATTATTTTACACCCCCCAGGTTGGTTAACCTGGAGGTTAACTTGGGGGCTCAGCACATTATCAACACCGCATTTTTTCCCCTGCCTTTCCACTCTGTCCCCTGGGTTGTAGGCTTCAACAAGGTCGTAATAGAAGTATCTTCTCTTTTGTCTTTATTGGAAGAGCAAAACCCCCTGGTGAACTCCCAGCTGACCAGAATTACATCATATTGACTTAAGCTTAGGATCTATATGTAAGACCACCATGTTTGGATTAGACCAGCTAACCAGTCTTTCCGGGCCTCCAAGAAACGCTTGGCCAGGGAGGAGATGAACGAATTCTGTTAGAAGGATGTTGGGGCAGAATAGAATGGGTATTGAGTGGGCAACTGTCAGGCCTCTGAGCTAAAGCTAAGCCATCATATCCCCTGTGACCTGCACCTATATGCCCAGATGGCCTGAAGTAACTGAAGAATCACAAAAGAAGTGCAAATGGCCTGTTCCTGCCTTAACTGATGACATTCCACCACAAAAGAAGTGAAAATGACCGGTCCTTGCCTTAACTGATGACATTTCACCACAAAAGAAGTGAAAATGGCCGGTTCTTGCCTTAACTGATGACATTACCTTGTGAAAGTCCTTTTCCTGGCTCATCCTGGCTCAAAAAAGCTCCCTCACTGAGCACCTTGTGACCCCCACTCCTCCCCACCAGAGAACAACCCCCCTTTGACTGTAATTTTCCTTTACCTACCCAAATCCTATAAAACGGCCCCACCCTATCTCCCTTCACTGATGCTTTTTTTGAACTCAGCCTGCCTGCACCCAGGTGATTAAAAAACTTTATTGCTCACACAAAGCCTATTTGGTGGTCTCTTCACACGGACATGCATGATAGTAACCAGTAGTGCTATACCAGCCACAGTGGGCTTTATAAAGAAATTGATAGCCATTGTAGGTTCTTGTACAAGTTTTTTTTTTTTTTTTTTGAGATGGAGTCTCACTCTGTTGCCAGGCTGCAGTGCAGTGGCGTGATCTCGGCTCACTGCAACCTCCGCCTCCCTGGTTCAAGTGATTCTCCTGCCTCAGCCTCCTGAGTAGTTGGGACTACAGACGCATGCCACCCTGCCCAGCTAACTTTTGTATTTTTAGTAGAGGTGGGGTTTCACCATGTTGGCCAGGATGATCTTGATCTCTTGACCTCGTGATCCACCCTCCTCAGCCTCCCAAAGTGTTGGGATTACAGGCGTGAGCCACCGCGCCTGGCCTGTACAAGTTTTTATCCACAACCTGTTTCTCTTCTCCTTTCTCCCAGGGCAGTCCCATTTCACATCTATGATTTCTAGTACCACCTGTATACCCAGGGCAATAAAGGATGTATTTCTAACCTAGACTTCTCCCTCAGATGACAGTCCTGGATATCTGACTATTTTCTGGACAACTCTTGGATGATCTGAAACTGAATGATTCATTCCACAAATAGTTGTGAGTATCTAGTATGTGCCAAGCACTGTTGTTTTCTTGTCCCTCACCCCCACTCCCCTCGTGTTCGTGGGGATATAGCAGTGAGAAACAAAACCAAACAACAGATTAAAACTCCTGCCTTGACAGAATTTGTATTCCAGTGGAGGAGTCATACAAACAAGAAAAGTGAGTACATTATGTGTGTTAGATACTTATAATAGCTAAGGCAAAATAAAGCAGGAAAGAAGGCTAGGTGCTGGGGCATGGGAGACCTAGCAATTTTCAGAGCAGGCTTCATTGAAAAGGTGACGTTTGAGTAAAGACATGAAGGAGGTGAAGAAATGAAAATTGATACTAATTGGCACAGCATTCCAGGTCAAGGAAGCAGCCAATTCCTAGTTCTAAGGCAGGAAGCCATGTTGGGGATGGGAGTAAGAGTGAGTGGAGCAGAGCAGCATTCGGAGATGAAGTCAGAGGCCGGGCCATGCGCCTTGTTGTAGGTCAGTGAAAGGACTTTAGGTTTTACTCTAGGGTTAAAAGTCCCTAAAGGGTTTGGCATAGAAGCTTGACATAGTTTGATTAAAAACATTTGTTTTTTCTAGTTGCTTGGTTGAGAATAGACTGAAGTGGGGCGAAGGCAGAAGCAGAGAGACCAGATAGGAAGCTGCTCCCAATAAGGCTGGTGAGAGAGTGGCTTGGATCTGGTGTAGGTGTGGTGCTCGGGCCTGAGAGGTGCGGTCAGTCAGTGCTGAGGCCATGTCCGGGGGGCAGACTGCCTTGCTTTTGGTGGAGCTTGGTTCTGGATCTGGGCCAAAAGTGGTGGGAAGATCCCAGCTCAATTTTGAAGGTAGAACAGATTGGACGTGACGTGGTACATGAGAGAAAGAAACGCATAAGAGATGAACCTAAGGTTTCTGATTAAATGTTGGACGTTGTGCAGGAAAAAAATCACATAGAGGCTCTGGCAAAAAAGATAAAAAATAAAATAAAATAAATAAAGAAATAAATAAAAATTGCATAGAGACTGTGGCTGATGTTGTCTTTTTCTAGAAAGGATTTAATTTTATTCTGGCAAGCAATTAGAGTAGGAACAGATGCCTTTTTTTTTTTTTTTTTTTTTGTTTAGGTGGAGTTTTGCTCTTGTTGCCCAGGCTGGAGTACAATGGTGCCGTCTTGGCTTACTGCAGCCTCCACTTCTTGGGTTCAAGCAATTCTCCTGTCTCAGCCTCCCAAGTAGCTGGGATTACAGGTGTGCACCACCACGCCTGGCCAATTTTGTATTTTTTTAGTAGAGACTGGGTTTCACCATGTTGATCAGGCTGGTCTCGAGCTCCTGACCTCAAGTGATCCACCTGCGTCAGCTTCCCAAAGTGCTGAGATTACAGGCATGAGCCCCTGTGCTCAGCCTCAGATGACCTTTAGTCAGGGATTCAGACTTTGTGAGGGCTGATCATTTTCTGGTTTGGTCTTATCCCAGAGCTAGGCCTTTCTGTTCTTTCTCAACATGAACATCTGCGATATTTAACAGGTCCCCATCTTTGGGTAACCTTAAACTCCAATTTT